TATATCGGAAGAACAAAGCGCGATAAACAACGATAATCGTTTGCATTACTTTTGTACAGTACTGTAGGAATAATGTGTGTCAAGTTTTGGTTTTGGCTCCCCTCTTAATACTTAGGCTTCTCTATGCGGTCGAATTTTCGTGTTATCAAATTCACAATTGAGGAAATATAGTAGAAGTAGAGACCAGGGAGCATATGGGAAAATCGAATAGGGTATGAAATCCGCCAGCGTTTCTTCCGCAAACCATCTAAAAATGGCTTAAATCGCAAAAGAGAAAACCTCAAAGCCCTTCTTTAATAAAGGGAGTAAGTTTCCCAAATAAACTGTGGTGCTGCGTCAGATTCTCAACACGAATATCTTCTAAGACTTCTTGTCAAAGGAAGGTAAAGGAAGTATGTCGAGCTCAGAAAAACAATATTCGCAAGTTTCATCAGGAGATGACTCAGAGTGTTTGTCTAGCGCCTCGGAGAATAGTTTTGTATCGGCAATATGGGTTTTGCACCATACGACGAAAGTGTCGAACCGACAGCAAACGAAGGAGAAGCTGGGCAATACGCAATGTAAGTCGCTGTAGAGGAGGAAGAAGAAGAAGAAGATCTTCTCCGAAGATTCTTTGGTAAATTCGACGTCAGAGAATGGTTTGTAGCTGGGCTTTTTCTATTGTATAATTTTTTTGTATTTATTCGGAAACGCGCAATTCTAATCACTTATATGGACGTCATTTACATTTACAGATTTTTTGCCATCTGTGGCCTAAAGACAATTTGTAGGTATGGTTTGGGTATATGTTGGCATGTCAAACAGACTTCCTGTTCCTTGTTGTGTGTACAGTGTAATGAGATCTGCCTTTCCCATAGCTGAAGATCAGTATCATGGTTATGAGGAAGAAGATGAGGTTGAATTATAATGTAGTAAAAGAAAAAACACTTCATTATTTTCAATGAACGGATGACGTTACTCGTTTCAACCTTCCAAACGGATGATAAAAGTTGTTTTACGGGAAAATTGTGAGGTTCCAACAAACATTGTCATTCAAAGACTAGGTTTCACAATATTTATGTCCTTACTGTTTTCTTGATGTTGTCGCGTTTGGAAAAAGCGTACATAAAGTCTATATGTATATAGTCATGTATTAAATAGCAAAAATAATTTTGTCACCGGAAAACTGTTGTTTGTTTTCTGATCAAGTGCTCAAATGCAAAAATTAAACTAATCAATTTTTCATAACACAGTTAAGTGCAGTTTTATAGTTCCACATTGCCATACAATAACCAGGCATGATAGTTGACTTCTGAAACAGGTTCATATACAGTGATTCAAGTTGAAGCCCTCACTTCTGACAGGAGATAAACAAGAAAGTTTTCATTTCAGGGAAACCTGTTTGTTCCCCAGGGCCTGGTTGTTCAAAGATTGGATAACGCTATCCACCCGATAAATCACTATCCAGCATATGTGCGTCTTCCTTTTGCGAGTAGCAGCCGTTGCAGCAGGCTGAACATTGCCTGTGGCCTTGCATCATAAATTAGGGGAAAAAAATAACAGTTTCATGGACTGATTGATCATTTGAATAACTGATTGTTTCATTGTTTGACTGATTGATTCATTTATTTGTTTACATTTGTTTACTCAGTCAGTTTTTATTTCTCAAAACATAATATTTTGTCCTTCACAAAATAAGCAAGACCAAA